GGGGTGGGACCTGGGGTGGGATCCGGGGTGGGGAGCCCTGGGGTCGGCGTGGGTCCCGGGGGTCCTGCTCCCTCGGGATCAGAGACTGGACTAGGGAAGTACGGCAGCTCCACTCGCTTCTCCTACACCTCACAACACTCTGACTACTCCCACAGCCGACACACACAGAGGATGCAGACTCACGTGTGAGACAGAGAGACGCATAAACACCTCACAGTCTTAGCAGAGCATGAGGAAGCATCTTATAAATAGTGTCACACCTAAAAACACACACAATCATAGATTTACACACACACATTTTCACACACTATAACACAACCGAACACAAATACGACTACATACACAAAAAAACATCACACACACACCCATGCACAGAGTCAGAAGACCATGCCCATGAGACAGGGAGGGTATGAGAAACACAGAGACACAGAGAGACGAGTGGAAGAAAAGGAGTTTTAGTGAGACAGGGAAGGGAAATTCCACACAATTTTGAATTCCCTCACTCCCAATGTCTGTGTATATCTGAGCTCTGAAAGAGCGGACGGCGCAAGTCACAATCAAGACTGGGAAAGAGAGCAAGAACCAGAGAGAGGACGAGGGATCACAGATCTTTGGAGCCCTATAGCTTTGGCTATAAACTGACTTTGTAAATGATGAAAGAGAACATCTTATGGCAAAACTGACTGACTGTCAAATATGGTACACGCTGATCGAGAGAAACCTCAACCAGTGGAAGTCATTTCTGGCCGCCCTTTTTTAAAGTTTTTTTGCTTCATCATTGAATAAGACAACCGTCATATTCAGTGATCATAGAGCACATATATATAGTATCCCATAATGCCCTTCTGTACAGTGGTACATGCCATCATGCCTGTTAGGCGGCATGGGGGGAGTGTGTTGGGACTGTGGTGGGGTGGGAGGGTTGTCATCATTTTGCACTGCATCTACAGTATTCATGCTTAGACGTCCCTTATCTATATCTGTGTAATGTCTTCTTTTTATTTGCACACCAGACTAGAGCTTTGTATTCTATTTTTAACATTACAGAATTATTTTTGTCAATGTAAAACATGTAATGTGTATGTATGGACCAAAAGTTTGAACGTGAGCGCACATAACGTGGGAGTTCGCCTGGGTGATTCCACTGAGACAGTGAGTGAAGAGTTGTGCCAACAGCGGAGCCTGAATTCAGGACGTATTTCACATCAGAAGGGTATATCAGTGTACAAAAGAAACCTAGTGCCAAGTGTTCATGTTGTTCTTCACCTTAGACCATGTATATGCAGTAGAAGCTCCTTCTATTGGTGACTGTTGCTTTACAAACCAGGCTCGGGGCCTTGAGTCATTTCCAGACATTTTCGTAGGCTGGAGCCTTTTTCTCTGAGCTCTTAACTACAAGCCTGGTGCAGACGGAGAGAAAAACACAGATGTTGGGTTTAGAACTGAGTGGCCTTATAGGGGAACATGTCGTACATTTCCATTTTGAATCATTCCTCATCGTCTGTCTGCCAAAACGGCCGAGGAGAATGTGTATGGAGAGGTTCAATGAAGGCTTGTCCACAATATTGACATGTAGTAGTGTATGACTGTGAGTGTGTGGGCGTGCGAGTGTGTGTGAGAGAGAGAGAGAGTTCAAGAGGGAGTGTGTGGGCGTTTAGCGCGCACATCGATTTGTACAGTGTGTTTGTATAGATGTGTGAATGACTGTGTGTGTCTGGGAAGCATACTGTAAACACGCAGCACCCAACTCCAGTGTGCGCGCGACTATCGTATGCGTGTCGGTGTGTATACAGTATGTGTATGCATGTCTGTGTTGAGTGTGTGTTTCAGTATATGTCCATATCATTTCTCTCACAATCCTGTTACAGTACTTTTATACCTCTGGTAGGACTGTATCCTGTATTATTGTGTCTTTGAATTTAGAAAAATCCAATGTTTATCTTATTGTACTGTTCTTCGTAGCAGAGAAAACTGTTCAAAAGATGTACAACGAACATTATCAAACTCTCATTTTTTAATTTCATTATCTTCAATATTTTTTAAAAATGGTATGTAATTATTTTTCCACAGTATTACATAAATAAAAGCACTGTTTTTTATAAAAAGCAGAGTTTGTCGTCTTTGGGCAGATGGGTTAAAATGCATATGTTCATTATTTTGACAAATGTAGACTCATCTGTGTCATCTGTTTATAAGCAGTAGTATAGCATTTATTTTAAAAAATATATCATTTTTGCATATACCTTTAATATATATTTACATTAATTGATTTTACCCATGTTTCTTCGTGACAAATTCACAGCATTTGCTCCAAATAGTAAGCAATTACTACGTTTTTTTTATTTATTTCTTATTTTATGTGTATTTTTTTTTATCTATCACTCCTTTGTGTTCTGTTGTGTTGTATTTGCTGCTGTAAAAAGCCAATTTCCCCAGTGTGGGATCAATAAAGTATATCTTATCAATTAAAACTGGTGACAGGTATTCAAGTACAGGGTCGTTTAAAGATAAAAGTAGGGATTAATGATTTAATGAAAAAAATATATATACACAAAATAATGTATGTTTTTTTTCTCTATTTCCAGTTGTTTGCTTTGCCATGTTGATAACCTACTCTTATAGATAGATAGATAGATAG